AAAAAAAAAAAAAAAAAAAGCAGTACATGTAAAAATGTACTGCTCACACATGCACAAACACACAAACACACACACACACACACACACACACACAGATCAGGTTTTCAGGCTGATGGTTACCAATGAACACACTTCTCAAAAAAAAAAGTACTGCCAACAATTTCTGGCTGTCACTTTCTGGGAAGACCACAAAATGCTAGTCACAATAAATTTTGTAAACACAGAAATAATAACTTTTTTCAAATAAATCAAAATATTTCAGAAAACTTTTATAATATATCCAAGATTTCCAGAATAATGTGAATTTAAAAACTAAGAGAAGGACCCATCTGTTCCATAGTACTGGTTAACATGGTGGCTGTAGGAACACATTCTGAATTCTGACTAACTTGTCTAACTTTACTACCATGTGTCTTTGGACTAGTTATTAATCTCTAGGCCTTAGTTTCTTCATCTATAAAACAAGGACTGGTTGACTATAAAATAGTAACTTCCTCAGAAGGCTATTGTGAAACATTAAATGAAATAAAGTTCAGAAAGGGCTTTGCTGTTTACTATGTTCCTGACATATAAACACTTCATAAGTCTTACTTATTATTAACTACTGAAACAACATCAACATATCTCAATTTCATGCTGCTTTTCCTTGAAATTAGTGAAGGGGGGAGGGAAATTATAGATGATAATGGCTTACCTTCTTGGCTTTCTCCAACACATCATCAAGATCCTAAAACAAGCAAAAAAATCACCATTATTTTAGATGCATAAGTACTGCTCTTTGGCTGTGTATGTAAATACAGTTGAAGCACCACAAAAAATGACAATGATAACAAATAGGGTGGTGGAAAGCAAAGAGCTACACTGATCCACCTGTTTACTCTTTCAGTAAAATCTGGCTTGTTTCCACTTGACTAAAACAAAAACCTCTACTGTCAAACAGAAAGAACATTTCTCTGACCTCCTCTTACTCGACGTCCCACTCTCCTCCCCCAGCAGCATTTGAACGTTCCTACTTCTTCCTTCTTGACAGACCCCCCGCCTTACCTCTTCTATCATCAGTCTCTAGTTTCCAACGTAGCGGGTAAAACACTTTTTAACTGATTTTGCGGTTTTTTTCTTTTTGTCTGCCCTTCTGTCCCATTAGAACGTATTTCATGGACCGCTTCCTGAGAAAAGTAGTATCTCAGATAGGAAGCTTACCGCTACTGAATCAGAAAGAAAAGTCGGTATGTCTGACTTTAAACAGGGAACGAGGAGCAGATCACACGGCCAAAGACAAAGGCCGGGGGTTATGGAGCTTGGTCCTAAGTTGGGGGTGGGGACAAGAAGAACATAAAGAGGAAAGGACCAGGGGCTCTCCGCTCCCCGGGCCCGTCATCGCCTTCACATACGTTGTCAAAGTCCGGGTCGGAGAGGTGGCAGTGACAGTCCACCAAGCCTACGTCCACAGTCCCCATTGCCGCCCGCCGCCGCCGCTCTATATTCGCACCCAGAGCGGGAGCCGGAACCGCGCAGCTGCTGCGGCATGAGTTTCCGGCAGGACGCATGCTCCTTACACCGGTAGGAACGCGCTCTTCCGCTTCCAGAGTGCCCTCCCACAGTTCAAACAGGGAAAATGGCGGGGGTTTCTGAGTTGGTGGTCCTCCAACCTCTCGGGAGCAAGGACATAATGGCGGAGACAGACAGCCAGGCTTTGGTTCCCCACACTCTACAAGAGGACTTTCGGGTGCGCTGCACTTCGAAGCGGGCTGTGACGGAGATGCTACAGCTGTGCAGTTGCTTTGTGCAAAAGCTCGGGGACGCGCTGCCGGAGGAGATTCGGGAGCCCGCCCTGCGAGACGCGCAGTGGGTACGGGCCAAGTTAGCCATTTCTTTACTTATCCCTTTAACCCTACACCTCGGGTCTCAGGGCTCAGAAAGACCCTACGCCCGGCCTCCACAGTCACCAGTGCCCAGACTACTGTAGAAGCTGCCTCAGAAATGCGAGGGGCCTAGGGGATGCTAATGTCAACTTATTATAATTAGATCAGCGCTGTCCCGTGAAAATATAGCACAAGCTGAAATTTAGTAATTTGGGGTTAAAAGTAAGAAGAAACAGAGGAAGTTAATTGAAATACAACATTTTTTTTAGCCCAATAAATCAAGATATTTTAACATGTTATAATATACAAACGAATGAGATATTTTCCATTCGTTTGTTTGTACTAAGCTTTTCAAATCTGGTGTCTTACAATTGCAGCACATCTTTCGAACTAGCCACGTTTAAGTGCCCGATAACTACAAAGTGGCTAGTGGCTTCCCTACTGGGTAGTGCGGACAGACACTCTGAGGAATTCTCTAGGAAAGAGTAATCCTGGGAGTCAATCATTCACCCAGCCCAGCTTTTGGGCTTTCCTTTTGCCTATTGTAGAACTTCTTGAAAATAAAGTGAAAGCCAAGTCTAAAACAGATAAAAGAGCTGTCTTGGTTATAAACTTTACTAAGATCAGACATTCGCCCTTGTAAGACATTTTCCCTTCCTTTCTCAGATATTTTGCAAAGCCCAGAAGATGATAGTTTTTTTTTTTGAAACCCAAGAAATAAAGGGATTATGTAGTCTATTTACATGTAGGGAAACAAGTTTAAAAGCTTATAATGCAGCACATTGTGAGTTTGAATGACCACAGTGCAAACAGTAAAAGTAAAGGTTAAGTAGAAGAAGAATGAATACAACTGTATTCTAGTTTTGTATTCAGTGGCTCTTATGTCATTTCTTTCTTGCAAATAAGGCAAGAATAGAGACATAGCTCAGTCCATTTTTAGTCGTTTTTTGGGAGAAGACTTTTGTTGTATAATCTTAGAATTTGTCTTATTCTAGCAAGTGCTAAGATTCTTAAAATGTTTAGTTACTTTACAGAAAAAGAGCTTGGCTTAACCTGTTATATCCTATTAAATAGGACAATAAAGGGAATTATAAGATAAAGCCTGAAGGATTTAGACTATCAAGGGAATTCACTTGTTTTATTTTAAGTAAGGCCAAAACTTTAATTATGTTGATGTATTTCTTTATCGAAAACTACATGACAATAGTAGTATATATTCTTAAAAAACAGTATTGGTAGGACTCTGCAATAAATATTACAAAGACAGTTGGTCTTCTCAGGTAATCCATTGAAAGTCTATACATAAATATTTTATATTACTTTATAAAATATTTAAAGTGTAGAATATGTATTTTAAGTCAATTATCAGTCATTTGATTTGTTTATTTTTAACTCTACAAATGATACAAAATACATGCTCATTGTACAAAATTCAAACACTAGCATAAAGTAAAAATCTTCTTTGAATTCCCTTTCCCCCTTTCTCTTCCTTCTATGAAATAACTTACTATTTTGGAGACTACTTGGTGGAGAGTAAACTTTCAAGACCCCTTTTTATGGCTTTACTTCTATCTCTCTATTTGTGTTTGTTTACATTAATAATGTCGAGCTGATGAATTGTTATCGACCTGCTTTTTTTTTAACAGATTTGTCTTTGATTATTATTATTGTTATTGTAGAGATATTCTTCATTTTTTAAAGTACTGCATAGTATGGATATATTGTTTATTTAACTGTTTTCTTAACTTTGAATTTTGATTTTTTACCCACTTTTTTTATACAGTGCTGAAATGAACATTCTTAGTACATCCACTTTGTTTTTTATGAGAATAGTCCTTTAGGATACATTGCTAGAAGTGAAATCGTCAGGTAATAGGGAGTGTGCATTTAAAAATTTAATGGTATTGCCAAATGCCTGTAGTCCTTTGTTTTTAATGTATTATGAACAATTTTCATCCTGACAAAAAAATAGGTCTGTACAGTGGACATCCATATGTCTACCAACAACATTAGTTAAGATTTTGTTGTAAGCCAGGCTTGGTGGCTCAGCCTGTAATCCCGCGCCTTTGGGAGGCTGAGGTGAGTGGATTGCCTGAGCCCGCGGGTTCGAGACCCGCCTGGGCAGCGAGACCTCATCTCTACAATCAATCAAAAATTAGCCAGGCGTGGTAGCGCGCCCCCGTAGTTCCAGTTCCTTGGAAGGCTGAGGCGGAAGGATCGCCGAAGCCCAGCAGGTCAAGGCTGCGGTGGCCGGGAGCGGCCACTGCACTCCAGTCTGGGCGACAGAGTGAGACTCCAACTCAAAAAATAAAAATAAAAAATAAAAGATTTTGTTGTACTTGCTATTTTAAAGCAAATCTAAAATTTCTTATTTTCATCCCTTCATACTTCAGTGTACATCTATCAAAAATGTAATCCTTTATAAAACACAAATTAATTTTACTTTCTTTTAAGCATGTATATTTTCCCTCTTATTAACATTGACACTCATTAAAAGCGTTTATGGTACTTATAGCCCTAAGATTCAACTGAGCCTAAATTTGCTAGATTTTATTTTTTCTTTCATAAAAAAGTATGTTTTTTGTTTACAAGAATATTTTAAATTTTGTCTCAGATTTTCTCATGGGTAACATAATAGCTCTCAGAGCTAAAATGTAAGTAGAATCAATGATTGAACTGGAAATGTTACTTCATTGAAAAGAATAAATAAATATACTAAGAGGTTAATCTGCTACTTTTCTTTATATCCTCTGTCACAAATCTGAAATTGTTATTTTGCCAGAATGTTTGATTTCAGTATTTAAAATTATTTTTGTGACTCAACTACTGTGAATTTATTACAGATCTTTGAATCAGCTGTGCAAGAGAATGTCAGCATTAATGGGCAGGCATGGCAGGACACTTCAGATGATTGTCTTATGGGTATGTAGTTTAAATTTTGTCAATAATTTCTGGGTTATTTTTACAGCTAATTTTGTTTTGAATACTGTTTTTTAATCCTTTGCAGAGTCATTTTTAAAAAATTATTTACAGCCAGACTTGGTGGCTCAGCATGTAATCCCAGCGCTTTGGGAGGCTGAGGTGAGTGGATTGCCTGAGCTCCTGGGTTCGATACCCACCTGGGCAACTTGGCGAGACCTCATCTCTACAATAAATCAAAAATTAGCCAGGTGTGGTAGCTCGCACCTGTAGTTCCAGCTACTTGAAAGGCTGAGATGGAAGGATCGCCAGAGCCCAGCAGGTCGAGGCTGCAGTGACTGGGAGCAGTGACAGGCAGTCTGGGTGACAGTGAGACTCCAACTCAAAAAAAAAAAAAATATATTTACTAGGAAAATAAAAAGATGAAACTAATATAGAAGACTATTGAACTCATAATTGGAGGCAAACACAGTAGGAACCTTAATCCTTCATATATGCTGTCTAGAATTTTAAATAGGACTTTCATATGACTTTTTTTTTTTTTTTTTGAGTTGGAGTCTCACTCTGTCACCCAGACTAGAGTGCAGTGGCCGCTCCTGGCCACCGCAGCCTCGACCTGCTGGGCTCCGGCGATCCTTCCGCCTCAGCCTTCCAAGTAACCGGAATTACAGGCATGCGCTACCACGCCCAGCTGATTTTTTTTTTTTACTTATTGTAGAGATGAGGTCTTGCTGCCCAGGCGGGTCTCGAACCCGCGGGCTCAGGCAATCCACTCACCTCAGCCTCCCAAAGGCACGGGATTACAGGCTGAGCCACCAAGCCCGGCTTCATATGATTAATCTTCAAAAGTACCCTTGTCTGGTTTATTGGATAATACTGTAGAACCATCCTCCAATGAAGAAACAGGTCCAGAGAATTCCTGTAATTATTTACAAAGCAAGTTATATATGTACATAATCTTTGTAGTGGATAGTGAATTACCTGCATTCCAGTCTGGGTGATAGAATGAGACTCCAACTTAAAAAAAAAAAGTGTGAAGTTAAACTATACAAGTAATATGCAAAGGATGAAGTCATGTATTTATAGAAGGCTTCTCAAAAATAACCTTTTCTTGATTTGAAGCAGACTTGATTGTACTCTAACTAATGGTGTTGACGTATGTAAAGAAATAAAAGTTTTAATAGAAAGAGAATAGTCGGGGTAGGAAGAAAAATAGTAGGAAGGAATGGTCAGCATGGGGAGAGAGGCAGAATTCCTTAGTGTCTATGTAGCAATGTCCAGAGAAGGGCTACCCAGAAAAGAGGGCCAGGTATCTTGTCTGTCCCCAAGGTGATATTACTCAGATCTGACCAGTACAGCTTGATGTCACTGCTGGCATTCACATTATATGGTTATACCCTTGAGTTGATTCCAAACCCATCATATAATCCTCTGTGGTTATAATTTTTCTTACGAACATTAAGATAATATTTTGCCCAAAAGACTTCACTGTCTAGTCCTTACGATTATTATATTTGTCTCTTCAAAGTTACCGAAACTGACGTTTTAGTTTACCTATTAAAACAATAACAGTAACCAGGCATGGTGGTGTATGCCTATAGTTCCAGCTACTTGGAAGGCTGAGGCTGAAGGGTCACCTGAGCCCAGCAGGTCGAGACTGTGGTGGCCATGAGCATGCCACTACACTCTAGCCTGGGTAACAGAGTGAGACGCCAACTCAAAAAAAGAAACAAAACAGAAATAACATTAGGTTTGCCAAATATTAACAGAGCAGTTGCCAATTAGTAGGGAAGAGGGAGTGCACTAGAATCACCTAGGAATACTTATGGCTGGGCTGCTCATGCCTGTGATCTCAGCACTTTGGGAGGCTGAGGTGAGAGGATTGCCTGAGCCTGGGAGTTCAAGACCAGCCTGGGCAACTTGGTGAGACCTAGTCTTACAATAAATCACAAAAACTAGCTGGGCGTGGTGGTGTTTGTCTGTAGTTCCAGCTACTTGAAAAGCTGAGGTGGTAGAATCGCCTAAGCCCAGCAGGTCGTGGCTGCAGTGGCTGTGAGCATGCCATTTGCACTCCAGCCTGGGCGACAAGAGTGGAACTGCAACTCAAAAAAAAAAGAATGAATGAATGAATAAACAAGTGAAACAAACCCCTTTCTCCCTCCCCTTGTAACTACCTTGAAAGGACTTGATTCCAGGAGGCTTGACCAGACAAATTTAAGATTTAAAATGTAAGTTCCTTCAGAGCAAATACTGTATCTGCTTTTCTTATCACTATGTTCATCACTTAGCTTGGTACATAATAGGCACCCATTAAGTATTTGTTAAATTAATGAATAATTCTTTTCCTGTTCAAATTTGTTTATACATTTGGGTTTTTCAGCTTTATCATTAGGTGGCACTAAGAAACCATTTTCCTCCCTACAAAAAAGATTTAGCTAGATACTATCTGATTATGAAATAGTACATTATTCTTTTCAAGTTGATGGTTTAACTTTTTTGATGGATAAATTAAAATTGTGGATTGCCTGAGCCTGCGGGTTCGAGAGCCGCCTGGGCAGGCGAAACCTCATCTCTACAATAAATCAAAAAATTAGCCAGGCGTGGTAGTATACACCTGTAGTTCCGGCTACTTGGAAGGCTGAGGCGGAAGGATTGCCGGAGCCCAGCAGGTCGAGGCTGCAGTAGCCAGGAGTGGCCACTGCGCTCCAGTCTGGGTGACAGAGTGAGATTCCAACTCAAAAAAAATAAAATAAAATAAAATTTAGGGAGGGCTACTTATTTAAATGAGTATTCAAAGTAAGAAATGACTATTTTGTAATATACTCAAAAGAAGTAATTTAGTTGCATTAGTGAATATTTGTTACATGAATGAAAGAGCATACATAATGTATTTCATTAACCTTTAACTAATATTTGTCAGCAGTTTTTCAAGATGTATCAAAAATACATATCTGACGTTTCAGACCACAAACTTATTTTTAATAAAGCTTCTCAATAAAATAGTCAATTTCTAGCATAAACTTACAGCAGAGGGCAGATGATACAGACCAGTTACACTTAGGGTTTAGCTCTTTAGTATTTGTGACAACTTAGTATTCTCATTCTTTAACATGATTTTCTTTTTTTGGTGTGTGTTGGAGTCTCACTCTGTCGCCCAGACTGGAGTGCAGTGGCTGCTCCCGGCCACCGCAGCCTCGACCTGCTGGGCTCCAACGATCCTTTCGCCTCAGCCTTCCAAGTAGCTGAAATTACAGGCATGCGCTACCACACCTGGCTGATTTTTTGATTTATTGTAGAGATGAGGTCTTGCTGCCCAGGCGGGTCTCGAACCCGCGGGCTCAGGCAATCCACTCACCTCAGCCTCCCAAAGGCGCAGGATTACACAGGCTGAGCCACCGAGCCCGGCTAACATGATTTTCAAAATAAAGTTGGGTAGACCCCTGAATTTATTTCATCTAGGATTTTTATTTCTGGGCCCTCTCCCAAACTTACCATCAAAATGTACGTACTCCTGACATTCTCTCCAGGTGATTGTTCATTCTGCTAAAGTTTAAGGACCACTATTTTTTTTTTTTTTTTTTTGAGTTGGAGTCTCACTCTGTCACCCAGACTGGAGCGCAGTGGCCGCTCCCGGCCACCACAGCCTCAACCTGCTGGGCTCCGGCGATCCTTCCGCCTCAGCCTTCCAAGTAGCCAGAATTACAGGCATGTGCTACCATGCCCGGCTGATTTTTTGATTTATTGTAGAGATGAGGTCTCGCTGCCCAGGCGGGTCTCGAACCCGAGGGCTCAGGCAATCCACTCACCTCAGCTTCCCAAAGGTGCAGGATTACAGGCTGAGACACCAAGCCCAGCAGGACCTCTATTTTAAAACATAGGAGAACTTTCGATAAAATAGACTTAGTTAAATGAAAGAAACTAAACTCACCGTATCTTTCATTTTCTTCTATCATCTATCCAGTTGATTCCTATTTCAGATCTTGCTCCTCCCCTCACTACTACTATGACAGCTTTGGTTCAGCACATAATAAAGTAAAAATTAGTTAGCATCCCTGATATTAAATACTTTTTTTTAAATTACTTTTTTTGAGTTGGAGTCTCACTCTGTCGCCCAGACTGGAGTGCAGTGGCTGCTCCCGGCCACCGCAGCCTTGACCTGCTGGGCTCCGGCGATCCTTCGCCTCAGCCTTCCAAGTAGCTGGAACTACAGGCATACGCTACCACGCTGGCTTATTTTTTGATTTATTGTAGAGATGAGGTCTCGCCAAGTTGCCCAGGCAGGTCTCGAACCCGCGGGCTCAGGCAATCTACTCACCTCAGCCTCCCAAAGCGTGGGATTACAGGCTGAGCCACTGAACCCAGCTTATTAAATACTTTTTATAGTCAAGTTCTTCTTTTATCATCCTTTATTTAGAACTTTTTTCTGTTCCCCAAAGACACTGATCTTATAAATACTGTTTCTTCTGCCTAAAATGTTTCTCCTTATTAATTTTTTTCCCCTACTATTTTTTTTTTTTTTTTTGAGTTGGAGTCTCACTCTCTCGCCCAGACTGGAGTGCAGTGGTTGCTCCCGGGAGTGCAGTGGCTGCTCCCGGCACTGCAGCCTCGACCTGCTGGGCTCCGGTGATCCTTCCGCCTCAGCCTTCCAAGTACCTGGAACTACAGGCACGTGCTACCACACCCGGCTAAGTTTTTTTTGATTTATTGTAGAGATGAGGTCTCGCCTAGTTGCCCCGGCGGGTCTCAAACCCGCGGGCTCAGGCAATCCACTCACCTCAGCCTCCCAAGGCGCGGGATTACCGGCTGAGCCACCAAGCCCTGCTGCCCCTACCATTTTTTGTCCATTAAATTTATACTTATATTTCAAGCTCAGCTGTTACCCTTTTTTTTTTTTTTTTTTTAAAGCACAGACATACATTGTTTTTATTTTAAAGATGTGTGGTACAATTCAGGATTAAGTACATAAGTGATCAACATATAGGTGAAGTTTGGGCCTCCCATTGGTCCTCACTTCTTTGCCTAGTTTAGAATCAGGCAGATATGACTTCTTTAAAGTCTTAAATTCCCCACATAAAGTTATATTGTTGTGTGTCCTGATAACATTTTGTTCATACCTCAGTTGCATTTATCAGGTTTCCTTGCAATTACCTGTTTCTTCTAGTGAACCATGAACTCCTAGAGAGTAGAGATTATGTTGTGCTCATCTTTGTATTTTTGTGGTTTAGGCCTAGCTTCTCTAGATGTTCAATAATTAATTGTTCAATGAGTAAATACATTGATCACCAAAGTAGGGGCATCTGTTAGCTTACTATATTTGTTTTCCTTAATTATTTTGTGTTTTTCAATTTAGTTTTTATCACATTTCCATAGAATATAAACAATAAGTTATAAGGAACTTTTTTAGATATGCTTTTTTTTTCTGAAATAGATTCTGACATCAAAGAACTTGAAGATCAGTTTGATGAAATCATAGTAGATATAGCAACAAAACGTAAGCAGTATCCCAGAAAGATCCTGGAATGTGTCATCAAAATCATAAAAGCAAAACAAGAAATTCTGGTAAGATGATGATTTGTCTTTAACATGTTATATATATTTTCTTATTAAAAAATTAAAGTGTAAGATCCATGTGGAAATAAATGATATTTTGTTGTCTTTCTCTTTCCTACCTCAGTTAGTATTTTTTGTCTCTTGGTAAGACTTTTTCCTGTTCTAAATCATACTAGGTTTTGAACACAGCTGATACTAAAATTGAAATTGGAGGAAGAAGACTGAGAATGACTTTATGTTTCTGAGACCAGGGTGGAAAAGGAAATTTATCTTTTAAGTCTGTCGTTTATATTTGGCACATTATATGTTTATGTTTGTGTATTTTGGGAGATCCTTTAGTTAAATTGATGGTGATGATTGGATACTTGATCATAACTGAAATTTGCATTATGAATTGAGTCTAATTTGCTCCAAAAATCATAACCGCCTGAATCAAAAGACAAGGAAGTCATTTCCTTCAGTCCATGCTTTTTAATCAGTAGCCATAGACTTGCTTCTTACTTATAATTACTGTAAATATCAGTGACCAATTATATCATACCTCTATCTTTTCATATTTATGAGAACTGGAATAAATAAAAAGTAAACAAGAAATCCATAAGCAAATTAGACCTAAGTTTTCCCATGGGGATGGGGAGGAGGTTTGCTGGGAATTACACTGTCCCTTCAGTGAGGTATGTGTTGCTTTTAGATTATGCTATAGTGTTTGTCTTTAGTTTTTGAAATTAGTGAACTTTCACATATAAATCTGGTCACTTCCCCTCAGGGATAATTTTAGGGTATTAAAGGCCAGGCTTAATAATTTATCTAAAACATTTTAGTTATCATTCTATGAAAACCAATATTTATGAGCAAAAATTTTTTTTGTAGCAGTCCTCAAAAAAAATTTCGTTTCACCACCAGCCTTTTCCCATTCACTTTAAAGTTTTTTCAGTAAAGACATTCATAGTGTATTTATTTTTCAGTTTCTCTTTTATTACCTTCCTTCCGTCCCCCCTTTCCCAAACTAGTAATCAGTATTACATATAAGAAAGTAAGTTGGCAGGCCTAAGTAAAGTACTGCTGTAGTCATTTAAACAGTGATGCAAAGTGGGTGAGGTGAGACCTTTTCTTCTTTAAAAAAAAAACAAAAACTTTTGGCTTCTACTGGCTTTGGGCAAGAGTAAGAGAGAAACTTTTCCTCTTTCTTTTTGCCTGAATTGTGGATTCTGTGCCAGTAATTTTGCTAATGTAGTTCCAGTGTATCACAGGCTATATATATAGGCTTTAGTGTGGTGACGTTGTAGACTTGCCACTTTTTGGAACAGTTCAGTAGAAATATGAATTTTGAGTTCCAAACACTTGCCCTAAATGAACTTTTGAAACAATTCATTCATAATTTAGAGAATACTTGCACTTTAAACACAAAATTCAGTCCCTGTGCTTCTAATTTTCTTGATTGTTTTTTCTGACTATACCTTTTTATGGTGCTATTTCTTAGTGTCTACGGTAGGTGGCAGTACTGGAAAAGGTATAAGTCAGACTTTGGGTATACTTTTCCCCACCTTTCTCTACAGATTTCAGAAACTAAATTATTTTCCCCAAAAGAATGGTATTATTGACTATATAGTGTATTTGTTTACATTAGCTAAAGGAAATGTTTGTCAGATTAAATCAAATCTATTTTAATTTATATTATGTTTAGAAGCAGTACCACCCTGTTGTACATCCATTGGACCTAAAATGTGACCCTGATCCAGGTAAGTCAGTGTTCATTTATAGTAAAAATGGAGTATCAACTTGTAATTTTTGTGAGTTCCTGATATTCTTCTAAAAGGATCAGCATCAAGGGTATCTTTCCTGTTGCCTTACCATCCTCCCAGGCATCCATTTTTATCTCTTCACTTAGAATTATGAGAACCTGCTGTACACCTGTTGACTCAGAATCTCTATGGGTGGGACCCAGGAATATGAACTTTTATGTCTCTCATTGTTATCGTACTATCCATTCTTTGCATTATAGCCAAGGGTATAGTATACTGTTAAAACATTCTCTCATAGTGTCATTCCCCAGTGCAGTAGCCTTCATTTGGTTGCTCATTGTTCACAATCTAAAATTTCATTAAAAATGTAATCTTGAATTTAAGAAAAGTGTATTCATTGTGTCTTTGAACTAAATTACTTTCATTAGATGCATCCCTTAAAACAGAGAAATAAAATTGATACATACTTTTGTAAATCCAGGAACAGAACTGACATTGCTAATAATGTGGATCATATATATTTTCAAATGGCTGTAGTCTCATGTTTTAAAATTTATAACAGTTTTTCTGAGAGACTCTTTGAAATTTGCCTTTGGCACTCAAAAATACCATTTATGAACTATTAGGAGAAAAACAGTTAAATTCTTCATTTATTTATATGGGATATTTATACTTACAGCTTTGAGTACCTTACCTTTGTTGAATTCTGAACTACTTTTTAGCACATCACCCCTGCCCCTTCTTCAAATCGCCTAAGCCAATGGAATAAACAGAGAGGGGGAAGTAACAAGCATAAAGCTATTCTGAAGTTAGTTAAAAGCACATAACTCACTGTGTTTGACATTAAAAATTGACCTAGGGGACCTAACACTTAGTTGTCATGGTTCACTAAAAGGAGGTAGTAGCCAAAATGCAATGGTTGATATGCAATTGTTTTGATTTTGAGCAGTATAAAGATAGCAGTTGAAACTTGTGCTGTTATCGTGTACTGAAGTATATCCAGTTAATTTTCCCTAAGTAACCTTTTTTAATTTAGAAGGGAAAACTTATTTAAATGATCCTTTGAAGACGTATGTGATTTTATTCCCACTATTCCATTATGTTGTATTAGTGGAAGAATCTTCTGCGTCATATGATTCTGACTTTAAAAGTAAGCAAAAGAATAATTTAAATCTATCTTGATTTTGATATTTTATCATTATGCATTTTCATAATGTTTACAAACTTAGAAAGCATCAATTCCTTAAGGAAGTAAAATTAACTTACAGTTATTAACTTTATATCCTTGGCCAAGTCACTTGACTTCTTCAAGCCTATTTCTTTTTTTGTTTTTTGGTTTTTTTTTGAGTTGGAGTCTCACTCGGTCGCCCAGACTGGAGTGCAGTGGCTGTTCCCGTCCACCGCAGCCTCGCCTGCTGGGCTCTGGCGATCCTTCCGCCTCAGCTTTCCGATTAGCCGGAATTACAGGCATGCGCTACCACGCCCGGCTGATTTTTTGATTTATTGTAGAAATGAGGTCTCGCTGCCCAGGCGGGTCTCGAACCCGTGGGCTCAGGCAATCCACTCACCTCAGCCTCCCAAAGGCAAGCCTATTTCTTTATCAGTAAAATGACAGATTCTAGATTTGGAGTTTAATGCTTTAGGTGTGAATTCCAGCTCTCACTGAATATTATAGAATGTTTTGCTTGTTTATCAAGATTGTAGTATAAACTAAAGTAAGGGGCTGTATAAACTATAACTAAAACAATAAATAAATAGTAGTTTAGAAGATGATACTATGTAATAATAACCATATTATAAATCAAATCCTAGCTGCACTCAGTGGCTCATGCCTATAATCCCAGCACTTTGGGAGGTGGAGGTGAGAGAATTACCTGAGCCCAGGGGTTTGATACCAGCCTGGGCAATTCCTTGCCTCTACAATAAATCAAAAAATTAGCTGGGCATGGTGGTGTGCGCCTGTAGTTCCAGCTAATTGGAAGGCTGAGGCAGAAGGATGTCCTGAGCCCAGAAGGTTGAGGCTATGGTAGCCGTGATAGTGTGACTGCACTCCAAGCTGGGTTACAGAGTGAGACTCTGACTCAGAAAAACAAAAACAAAAACCACATCCTATTTACAATAGTATACCTTTTAATATTGCATATCGTATAATACACTTAACTAATAAAATCATATGAAACTAATTTAAATGACTTAAGAGGAAGGTGGAAAGCATACAGTTCTATTGGCCTTAATAATTTGAATCAGCCACATGGGAAAACTTTTGTGGGAACTTCTTAGAAATTTTTTTCTTTTTGTTATTGTTATACTAAATGATATTACATTTCTTTGAAAACACTTGTAAAGAGGGTTGCCTGGTTTTCAAAATGCATTGCTTAGACAGTACAACATGTATAATATTGATCCAGCATAGTTACATTAGGGACTTTGATCTCCCAGAGTTTAAAGAGATAAGCAGACAGATTCTCCCCATAAACACTTTATGTCTGAGTAGGAAATACAAGAGATGAACATAAAAACAGGCTTCTTTCATGCCACCTAACTGGTTCTTTTCCCAGTGTTCCCTGTCTGGATAAGCAGCACCTTGACTTACTTATTGCTGTAGATAAAGTCAACCTTAATTCTTTCTTCTGTTGAACTCCTCATATCCAGTTAATCAGTAAGTCCTATACATTGTTCCTTTGAAATATGATCTCACTTTCATCCACTTTTCTTCATCTTGCTATCATTGCCTTTGTTCTAGGTCACCATCATTCTAGCCAGGATTTCTACACATGCACTCCAGAAGGTCTTTCTATTTCACTCTTGCTCTCTTCCATTTCCTGATATATTTCAAACATATAGAAAATATGAAAGACATAATGGACATCTTTTTACCTATTACCATATTTAAGGACTGTTCACATTTTGTTATACTTGCTTCAGATCTTTTTAGGAATTAGAATGTTTGGATACAGTTGAAAATTTCTTTGTACTTTCCACCATTTCATTCTACTTTCTCTTACCTGAGTATCCTTGCTTTCCATGTTTTTCTGCTTTACTTTTTAGATATGTATCCATAAACAATGTATGGCATTTGCTAAGTTTTAATATAAATTGTATCATACTAGCTGGGCTCGGTGGCTCAGCCTGTAATCCTGCGCCTTTGGGAGCCTGAGGTGAGTGGATTGCCTGAGTCCGCGGGTTCGAGACCCGCCTGGGCAGCGCGACCTCATCTCTACAATAAATTAAAAAAAAAATCAGCCGGGTGTGGTAGCGCATGCCTGTAATTCTGGCTACTCGGAAGGCTGAGGTGGAAGGATCACCGGAGCACAGCAGGCGAGGCTGCGGTGGCCGGAAGCGGGCACTGCGCTCCAGTCTGAGCGACAGAGTGAGACTCCAACTCAAAAAAAAAAAAAAAAATTGTATCATACTGGCCATATTATTCTGCAACTTTTTTCTTTTCAACATTGGATACACACACAGTTCTCTATTAATTTAGCTATGTATAGTAGTGTATGAGTACACCACTATTCATCCATTCCTCTACTGAAGGAGTCTTAGATGGTTACATTTTTCTTTCTATATATAGAAAGGTTGACTTCTTTCAGTTAGCATAATTCAGTTTGCATAATTTTCAAGATTCATTTATGTTGCAGTATGTTTCAGTACTTCATTTCTTTTTATTGCTAAATAATGTTTTATGGTATGGATATGCCATGTTTTATTTATTTATTTGTCAGTATACAATGGAGGACCCCTCCCCCCCAAAAAAACAATTACTTTTTGCAGGGTGGACCCCTTGTAGTACAGGCTTCCCCTGCTAGGTAAGTGTTCTAGGAACCCATTGACATTAGTGTACTAGCTAGCAATGTTGTGAAAGGCTGCATTCAGCTTCAGTGAATTTTTTTTTGAGCCAGGCTCGGTGGCTCAGCCTGTAATCCCGTGCCTTTGGGAGGCTGAGGTGAGTGGATCACCTGGGCCTGCGGGTTCGAGACCCGCCTAGGCAGCGAGACCTCATCTCTACAATAAATCAAAAAATCAGCCGGGCATGGTAGCGCATGCCTGTAATTCCGGCTACTCGGAAGGCTGAGGCGGAAGGATCACCAGAGCCCAGCAGTTCGAGGCTGTCTGGGCGACAGAGTGAGACTCCAACTCAAAAAAAACCAAAAAAACAAACTATTTTGAGCAGTGGAAAAGGTATCTCCATAGGTGTAATGCATTAAACGGAGAGTACTTCGAAGGTGACTGAAATTTAAACATGAAAGAATAAATACGCAATTTTTATAAATAAATTGCTATTTGTTTTGGTTACCCCCTCATACAGACATTTTTGAGTTGTTTCTGTTTTTTGGCTATTATGAGTGATGCTGCTCTGAACATTTCATGTACAAGTTATTGTATGGACTTATGTCTTAAATTCTCTTGAGTATATATACATATGAATGGAATTGCTGTGTCATATGATAATTATGTTTAGCTTTTTAAAGAACTGCCACACTGTTTTCCAAAGTGGCTTTACCATTTACATTCCCACCAATAGTGTGGAAGATTCTCCACATCTTCACCAACTCTTACCATTGTCTGTCCATTTTATTGTAGCCATCCTAGTGGGAGTAAAGTGATATCTCATTGTGATTTTAAATTGCATTTCTCTAGTAACTAATGATGTTGAGCTTCTTTTCTTTTTTTTTTTTTTTTTTGAGTTGGAGTCTCACTCTGTCACCCAGACTGGAGTGCAGTGGCCACTCCCAGCCACCGCAGCCTCGACCTGCTGGGCTCTGGCGATCCTTCCGCCTCAGCCTTCCAAGTAGCTAGAACTATAGTCGTGCGCTACCACACCCGGCCCATTTTTGATTTATTGTAGAGATGAAGTCTCATCAAGTTGCCCAGGCGGGTCTCGAACCTGCAGGCTCAGGGAGCTTCTTTTCATGTGCTTATTGGCCGTTTGTATATCTTCTTTGGCGAAACATCTATTCGAGTTCTTGGACTATTTTTCATTTGAGTATTTGTCTTTT